GTGTGTGTGTGTGTGTGTGTGTGTGTGTGTGTGTGTGTGTCTTGGTGGTTTGCCAGTGATAAGTTGAAGAATAAGAGCTAGTAAGTCCACACAGGGTAAGATAGAGAAACAAGAGTCAAAAGCTACACAGAGATTCCCAAATCTCTTCATTCCAAACCCTGGTATTTTACTAAATATGAATCACTGACTGCATGTGGAGGGCTGAAGTGGTGCAGAAAAATTTATCACTATTTGTTGCATGACATGGTACATTTGGGAAGAACCAATGGCTCACTTTGTGCTTGTGTGGCTTGAGTACTGAAGGCTTGCAAGGTTGCTAATGTTGGCTTCCTGGACTCTGTCTGCTGGGAAAGTATTCGAATTAGTTTGAAAGGAGCTCATTGCTCTCCCAGTGGATTTGTCACTGTTCTTAGTCACAGCTGTCAAGTGTGCTCAGCACAAGATGATTTATCTCAGGATATGGATTTGTTCACAAACTATTGAGAAGTCTTAAGGCAGAAATTCTGGAAACCTTTCCAAGAGTGGAGTGGAAGATGGAGCCAGTAGGATGAACCCTGGCTACTGGGATTCTCTATTCAGTGATCTCTTGCAGAGAAGAGCTGTCCCTTTCCTCCTGCTCTGAGATTATAGCACCCAGTCATGAGTGCTCAGAATCCTCCTCCTGGCCTGCAGCTCTCTTGTGCTGTTTATATCCACATCTCACACTCCTGAGGATAAATCCAATCCATGAGTTCATGGACTGATTCATGTTTAATGACTTTGCTTCACTAATAAATACATTCCCACATTGAAACTCTGACTTAAAAAAATCTACCTCAACGTTTTATTACCACTACAAATAATAGCCAATTCTCTCAATTCAGTGCTGGGGACCCCAAATGCTTCTGGTGCCTAATTCATCTTCCATCATTGGTTAGAAAGTAAGCTAGGGCCTAAGTTATGAAGATGTGTTACTTAGTTTTCCCTTGTTGTGGCTAAGACCTCAGTAAAAACAATATAAAGGGCAGAGTACTTGATTGCACCTCTTAGATCATAAAGTCTAGTCTACCATGTGGGCAGAGTTTGGTGAAGCTCACCATATGGCACCAAAGTAACAGAGGAAATGTTTACTTGGTGGCTACATCTTTCTTCTCCTCTTATTTGATGAGATCTCAGCATTTTGGAAGGGGCTGTGCATAATAGGGTGGGTCTTCTCTCTTAGTCAATTCTTTCCAGAGAATCTCTCACAGCCAGGTCCCGAAGTATATCTTTTCATCTCCAAGTAATCCAACCTAGAGAAGCATCATAAAGTCATCAGAACTTTTTCTGTGTATTTAAACCTTTCAACGAAAATAGTGAGTATAGAAAGAAGATTATTGAGCCATATATACATGGTTTCCTCAAAGTCTACATGCTGTGTGTTCTTACATGTCTTTCTTTAAGACAGTATCTGCAAAGGATAAACTATGTTTCATTGGATCCCTGATAATTTCTCTGTGTGTGTATTAAAGCTGCCTGTTTATGCAGCTACATTTGGAAATTTATATGTATATATATACACATCTGTGTATATATGCACACAATAAATACATAAATCTAGGCACATGTTTTATAGATGACCCATGTAAACAAATACCAATATATGTATAAGTATGCCTATTTGCTAACTGTGAATTAATCATATTTTTAAAATCTTTACTGCCTATTAAAATATCATTTTTATGTCTCTACTTATACATTACTATATATTATTGTATATTACATCATATATTATAATAATATGGATAAAGTTAATGCTGTTCCTTACATGTTTCCATAAGTGAATTACATATTCATATATTTAGCAGCTTTTTTATTTTTACTTTTCCCAATTGCTGTTTAAATATCCATAGTTATGCAATTGGTTTTTAACAAAAATAGTATGCAATTAACCACTGGTACACAATTGCTAACAGTTATGTATATCAGCTATTCATGCTTTTATTTGGTGATGATACTGCTGGAGCTCCTTTAACTGTTGTGCTGCAGGTCACTCAGCTTGCCTCCAACATGAATTATGTTTGATCTTCCTCAGTGACAAAAGAGGCAGAGAATTATAGAGATCACGACCAACATCTAGGGTTTAAGGTACATAGAGAAATTCCAGTCACAAAATATCCACCAAAGAAACACAAGGGTATGAATTCTGAACATTCAACAGAGCTTTAAGCTGATTAAGCAAGTCCTCCAAAATGAACACTAGTCCTAAACTTTTTCACTTTAGATTTGTTTAGGAGATAAGACTAGGCTATGTTCTACCTATCTGTACCGCCTTAGTAACCATGACTATAGGAGATTATTTCAATGCCTAGATTCCTTTTGAGATAGCTTCTTGATAACAATTCGCCAGTATAATCTCAACTTGAATCCACTTCTTCTCCCACTTGTGGGGATTTAGGCAATATTTTGAATAATATTTAATCTTGATATATCCGCAGATTTCTAAAAAATCATTATTATTTTGAGGCTTGAGATCATATAATTGATAAATATTTGTGTGTGTCTAAATAATTTTGCCCAGTGAAGATCTCCTTAGCAAAAATAGACTTCTCCTAAAGTGTAGTTTCTAAAATCTTGTATGGATCCTTATTACCTGCATAAAGTACAGTTTGCTATGCAGTAGGTATCGGTATGTTCATAAATTTTGTCTGTGTTGTTGGGGTGAGCTAAAACTAACTCCATTTTTAATATACCAAGAGTTCTGCCCCAACACCCCTGAGAATCAAAATACTGGTTTCTCACAAGCCCCAAGGGTCAGGAAATATGCTATTTGTTGAGACCCCAGGAAATGTGGAAACTGTTTGGAAAGGTCTTAGGATTGTTGTGATCAGGTTATGTGATGTGTAGGCCTGTTTGATTATCAATATCCCAGACAGGATCTCAATAGCCCAGACAGGATCTGCAGCCTTGTTTGGTTATCAATAGTAAAACAGCCCAGCCACCTTTGCACTTCCAGAAAGGAGCAGCCTTATGTCTGCCCCCACAAGCGAGAATATCTGCCTGCCTTGTGTGGGGACCCCCAAATTTGTGTGCCAATTCAAACCAGAATGATAGGTTAGTTCAAACAGATACTATGAGGCAGACTGTAACCCCATTGACCACTGACATAAACATGCAATCCTTGTGTGTGCGCTACAATCCTGTTGGCCACCAACATGTGCCCAGGCTTGACCACATGAATTTTGCCTTTAAAAATCCTAGCTGAAGGGAGAATCAAGGTGGCAGTTTCAGCCCCTGAATCTGTGCTGCATCCCTAGTCAGTCAGCTATCAACTTCCCCAATAAAGTCATATTTTAACATGAGGCTTTCTTTACATGAGTGGTGGACTCTTTTCCCCATAACATGTATAAAACCAAGCACATGACAGGAACAACATAAGGAAAGGAAGTGATGATTTGGCTCATATTTTCAGAGATTTCAGTTCACAGTCCTTGGATTCCTTGGTCTGTGGTAAGACACAAGATCAGGTGGTGGAACCATCTAGCAGAGGCTACTCAACTCAAGGCGCATTAAAATCCAAAGGAAAAAACAACAAAAAAAAAAACCATAGGAAGTGTAAGGGCAAGATTAGCCCCAAAGACATGCCCACAAGTGATGTATTTCCTCCCACTGAGCCCCACCCCATACTCTTAACACTTCCTATAACACCACTCTATTGTTAACCCATCAAGGGGTGAATAAACTCAAATCCAAGAGTGTGAAGTAAACAGAGAGGAAAAAGTTACACCCAGAGAAACCAGGTCTCTGCTAGTTTTCAACAGAACACTGAACAACATGAATAAGTAGAAAACATGAATTTCTCTGAAGAACAAAAAACTGATTCACTGAAGAAAAGTTGTCCTTTTTCCTTCATTTGTACCATGTGACTATGCAGGTGGAGGAATTAGAATCTCCCCTGTTCTTGTTTGACTTCATTGTGAAGGCCTGGATGGTTGATCATATTGGCCTCCTCTAACAAATCTAGTGTCAAAATATGATAATTAGCAACAACAAAGAAACTTTGTTGATATTATCCGGTGAACTAGTTATTGTTTTGGTTTCAAATATTAAGTCTAAGAAGCAGAAAATGTTACATTCAGGAATACTGAATTACAAACTATTGGGAATCAGAAAATGTTACAAGCTGGAATACTGAAATACAAACTATTGGGAATCCTCAAGTAACAAACTCCTAGCAGTTTCAATAATGCCACTGTTGATAGAGCATCTGAAGGGTCCCTCATGCCTGTGGCTCAACTTTCAGACTATGAACTACAAAGCAGACAGCTACTCCTGTCACTCTTGCCACAGGAGGCTCACAGCCCTGCATACAGGAACCAGAGGCCTGGCCTCGTGGCTTGCAGCAACGCTTGTGTTGACTATATTCCCATGCTGGTCACATGATGGTTTGTCTGCTTTGTGGACACGGGCTGTTTCTCCCCCAATCCACATTCACATTCTGACATCATATTGCAATCTCACTTAGTTTTCTCACAGAAGATACCGCAGAGCTTTTCTTTACACAGGAAAGAAACTCATCGCAAATGACAAGGAAACAAAATTCACTAAGCACCTCCCTCATTGGCATTGGGAATGTACCTATAGTCCCTGAAGGACTAAAAATTTAGTTTTAATATACTTCTGTGTAGTTACTGTTAGTGTTATGCTCACCTTTGGTACTCAGCTCCACTCAAGCCTGGGCCCCCCTTCCATCCTGGAGTTCCCTTCATACAGCTGGCCCCTACCTCTCTCTGCCCAGATGCACCTGAACTCCAATCTACCTCACTTCCCATCCCTGAGACCCTACTGCTACCTGGATAGTCATGGAAGCCATGAGCTCCCTCTTGGGGGGAAATACACTTCCTCTAATGAACCTTATGATAATCTTTCTACTGTGTTTGCCTGCCTCTGCATGTTCCCCTGCATGGATGTGTCCAATCCTCTTACAGTTAGATTGCTGGCTTTACTGAGTGTGACACCCAGTTTTGGATAGTGATCACACGCCTTATTACTAGAATAACCATGCTGGTACTTGAAAATCAATGGTCTATCCCACAGCTCTGAACTCAGCTGGAGGATGTATTGCATTCAGCTTGACATATCATGTGAGAAAAATTCAGACTCTTCCAGGATGGTTTCTGCCCATCAAGTGATGGGGATATTCTGTCTTAGAGATACTAAAAGAGACACAAAGCTTGAGATCCCATAACACTGTCAATAGAATCTAGACACCGATCAAAGACAACATTAAATATGAAAGATACCCCTTTACAATAGTTTTTGAAGAAAAAAAATCACACAGGCTGACCAGGAATAGATCTTGATTCTATGCTCATTGAACAAGGGCTCAGTCTCAGACTTCTGTGACCTATGAACAGTATTACAGGACTTCATCACACTCCAGAATCCCAGAGCCAGAGCCCCAGAACACAAAAGGCCAGAGACCAGTGTGCAGAGTGCAGAACTGTATCAGTCCAAGATGGATTCAATCAGGAACCAGTGAAAGAACTCTGTTAAGGGCTTGATATTCATGCAGGGTTTGGGGACAAACAGAGAAGATGCTAGACAAAGTACAACTGGTCTTCCAGCTTCTGAACAGAAAACATAACATAGACTGTATGTATGAGCCAAAATCATGTGCATGATGGAAGTTTTATAAGTTTCCTTATGAAGGGAATAAGATCATAGAAGATCCTTGATGCTTATATTATACATTGTCTGTAGTACTAATTAATAGACACATATTTTTTTTCAATAGATACCTCATTGTTTACCTAAAGTCTTCTGGTCTTTATTCTTTCATGATTTTCTCCTGCTCTTTGTAGTTTGTAAGTCATCCAATCATCATATGCTCTTCATATCCACCCAGTCATATTGATCACAATATCTTCCTCCTCAGCTCATTCAGACAGTCTTCTCTGCTGATTCCAAGACCAGCAACACATGAGGGCTGCTCACCCAGCCAGAGGAAAG